ATATATATGAAACCACGTCTACCCGTCCCGCCAGGTGCTCCGCTGTCCATACCCAGTATAAACCTTGTACATGCACACAATCCTATGCATACGCACACACATACATGTGTATACCCACACCCCTATACACGTATGTAGACACCCACACCCCTATACACATATGTAGACACCCACCCCTACCCACATACCCATCAGCCACACTCAGCACCCATGCACTGAGCCCTGACCGCCCGTCTGCCCCGGGTCCACCGTCCCCGCCCGGGCCGCCTGTCCCGCCAGGTGCTCCGTTGGACGCCATGGCCTGTCCGTCTGAATTGTACACATACCTACCACCAGCCCCACCCCTTCCTCCCCGTATCCCCGGAGCACCCAACCCGCCCTGTGCGGAGTAGTTTCGCATTAGTGCTGCATTAGGTCAGTATTAGTTGAGCCGTGCTATCTGCTGGCAGTTAGATGTCCTGCAAAAGACATGCAAGTGTTCCGGCCCCATAGGCAATGCTTTACAGCCAAAAGTGGCAGAAAGTTCGGAACAAGCCAGACCCAAAACTTAATAAACCTTAAATACGACAAAATAGTGAATTGTCCTGAATGCTGTATCTGGCTATTACAGAGCCCATCCATTTTCTGCGGGGCACTGTTGACCAAATGTTTGCACTGTGAGGACTGAAGGCTGAAGTAGACAGTTAGGTTTCTAGGGACACTAGTATGAGTATTTGTCCTGATGACCAAATGTTTGTATTGTGAGAGACTGAAGGCTGAAGTAAATAGTTTAGGTTTCTAGGGACACTCGTATGAGTATTTATCATGTTGACCAAATGATTGTATTGTGAGAGACTGCAGGCTGAAGTAAATGGTTTAGGTTTCAAGGGACACTGGGTAGGAGTATTTGTCATGTTGACCAAATGATTGTGTTGTGAGAGACTGAAGGCTGAAGTAAATGGTTTAGATTTCAAGCGACACTAGGTAGAAGTATTTGTCATGTTGACCAAACGATTGTGTTGGTGAGAGACTGAAGGCTGAAGTAAATGGTTTAGGTTTCAAGGGACACTAGGTAGGAGTATTTGTCATGTTGACCAAATGTTTGTATTGTGAGAGACCGAAGGCTGAAGTAAATGGTTTGGGTTCCAAGGGACACTAGGTAGAAGTATTATCCAAAAGAGTGCTCGTAAGAACTACAGACTGCACCGTTTCCAACGGCATCTCGGTGCGCTTTGTATATGCATCAAGAGCCCGTGGATGATGATAATAAAAACTACTTTGGGGTTGGTTCTCCCATTCCCCACGTACATCTAATTGATGATACATCGGGGACAGATCAGTCTTATCTGATCGATTATCGTCTGTGTCTTTGGCGTATGCGAGAGCGCAATAACATAGGCCTCGTAAGAAACTGCCCAAAAGCCTGTATGTCTTATGTCCATGAATGTGCATGTGCCCATATGTGTCGAGGCATGCGTGTCAACAAGAATGTGTGGTTTTCGATATTTTACACGGGTGTGGTGTGCCTCTACCTCGAATTTGTTATTTGCGCAACCCAAGCAATTCAAGTAAATAAGACCTCAGACTATGCAAATACGACCAATAGAAGGTGGGCGAAGGCTCATGAAACTATACGAACACGAACACACTCACAAATGTCTACACATCCCTATTTATGCATACAAATACATCATCACACGCACACAACAACGCACGCATATGTAGACAAACACCTGCAAAGAAACTCACTATTGGAGTGAGCGAGCGAGAATGTCCACAAGTGCGGAAACCCTGGGCTGGATCAATACATACATACACATAACATATATATATATATATATATATATATATATGTGTGTGTGTGTGTGTGTATATATTATTAGTTTAATATATATATATATATATATATATATATATATATATATATATATATATATATATATATATATATATATATATA